ACTTTTACTGTGAATCTACAACTTGATCTAGCTATAAAATACTTACAAATTCTCAAACTATGCTGCTTATAATATGCAAAGAGATGTCAAAGTGCAAAATGCCAGTGGGGCAGGAAATTTCTGACCATGGCCACTGTGCTACCTGTCTGCATAGTGAGTCTGAGAAAGTTGTTCTGTCAGTCTAGCTGTGACCACCCACAGATATTTTCCCTTCAAAACTGGTACTGAGAGGGTTTATTTTCTCTTTATTTACATGTTATACTGAGACAATATTATCCAGGTGAGCAGACCTTTGAAATGTATATCTGACCTGAGAGTTTAAACATGTTACTCAACTTTTTATTATTGGAAAGATAAGCATTAACAATTAAGTATGTTTTGGTTGTGTTTAAAAATACGATTATTATTATAAACAGCTGACTACTACTGTAACTTCATAGCTGGAGCCAGAAAACCTAGGTAACTGCAAAAACCACGGGGTACAAGTAAAAGGGTGTGCTATTTGCATAGCATGAATTTTAACCATTTATGTATTTTTAAAGTAATTTAGGAATTACTTTAGGCTTTTTGTTCATACATCTGTTTGTACCTCTTCACCTCTTTTTGCCCTGCTGCTACTAGACTTGGTTAAAACTAGAAGTTGCTTAAAGATGAACAGCAGTATGGGAGTTTCATGCAATAATATAAATTTAAATTTTATTACCCTGGACAATATTATTATGATATGACTGTGATTATGGCTAGGTTGTCAGTATTTTAAGTACCCATGAATAGACAATGATTGCACAGAACCCAATTGTTCTCTGGTTTCTTAAAATTGTGTTAAAGATTTAGATGTCAATGTGAAGAGAGATTACAATTGAAGCTTTTATTCCTTGTAGGAAGGTCTCTTAAGTACTTGGGTAGATTTGTAGTTCTTAGTGTTTTTCTGTGTATTAGATCTTTACATCCTTGATAAAAGAGCTTGAGAAAGAAGCAAAATTACTTTATGTTCTTTCAGAGTCAGAAGTGAGGACAAAACCCTAGGAGTCCTGAAAGGATGCATCAGTTGTTGCTTTAATGGACTCTGCTTTTGAATCTAGCAGTAAGCTAGATTGTCCATTACACGGTAATACTCTTGAGAATAGAATGAAAGACACTGGTTCTGATTTCAGGCTTAATAGTTCAATTACATCTCCTTTCTTATGGAGAAGCAGCATTTCAAAAAAGAAATGTTCATAGCACTGGGAGAAGCTTAAAACTGCCATTGGACTTATGTGTCAGATCTCCAGGGAACGCTTTGAATAACATGGGAGGCTTCAGCCTCTTCAGGAGAGAAAGACCTGGCACTGAGCAGTATCTGGCTGTTCTTCCTGTATGCAGTAGGGTGCCTGTGGGGCCGGATCTCTTGCTCTGGTTTATATATAGCCTGTTTATTGTCTTGTGTTTTTAACCTAGTGGAGCTGTCTATCTGGCCAAGTACCCCAGAGGTCCTTTTTCTTTCCTATTGCTTCCTGTTACCAGATCCAACTATTCCTTATTAAAGTGTCTAGCATTTCATGCCAAATATGAAATTATTCCTACTTGATATGCAAAACCTGTATCATAGCTTTCTTGCAGCTCTTAACTCTTCGAATAAAATCACTAACAGTATGTGCCCTAACCGGGCCAAGACTTCTCTTCGTCATTTTCCAATCTGAGAACTCTTCAACCCTACTGTTACTCATATAGGGAGGATTCAAGTGGCATGTGCCCAAAGCATCTGAGAGAAATTCCTCTCCTTTACTCAAGACAGAGGAGATTTAACAACTATTTATTGTGATAAATAGTGAATCTGGAGTGAACGTGGTCATCAGAGGGTTAATAAGAATGTCACCAAACCCAGGAAACACAACACATATTGGAGCAGTGCTGGGGCTTGTAGTGTAGTGTACCTTGCAAATGGAGCATGTTGTCTGCTTGATTATGTGCAAATTACATCCCCTTTTCTACTTATATCAATGTCATCTGATGTAGCATTTTTTTGTGTGTTGAATCTCTTTTTTGCAATTACAAATCTGTTTAACTTTCAACAATAACACCAGGGTTTCTAGAACTTTCCCTTTTTCCTTTGCCAAAATGCAGAATTGGAGTAGTGGGGCATGAGGGAAAAGAGGGGGTTTGATTCCTGTGAGGCAAAAGTAGTTTGACTGAAAATAAAATCCAGCCTTTATCAGTACGAACCGTCATGAGGTGAGATCTAAGGTGATGTGTAAATTCTGAGTTAGTTGACTATTTTCAGCATTTTCATTTGGGCATACTTGAAAAGGTGTTTTCTAAATGACGTCTTTCTAGATATTAAGAGCATTTGCACCATCTACTCTCTTCTTCCTCTCCCTCCTTGCGCCCTATTTTCCCATCAAAAGACTTTTTGGAGCAAATTTGCTGTCGTTTAAGAATTCAAGCACAGCCAACTTGGGGCATACTGTATCCTAGCAATAAAAGCATCTCTGACACTGCCTAACAGATTTGCTAAGCAAAACATAACATGTTCACTCTTCAGTTGTATAGTGTCCACTCACATTATTTGTTGAAGCCAAAATATTTAATTATTTCAGTATGGGCAAAAGTTATGCTGCTTGGAAAGCAGCTACATATTTCCCACTGCACCAAAGCTGTCTAAGCATGTTTTGTGACCGTCTCTGTTCCCGCAGCTGGGATGCTTACAGATGCGTGCAGGCTTATTGCAGGCATAAAGTAACTTAAAAGACTGGACTGCAGATCGGAGATAATTATGTGCTAATAGCCGATGGCTGTGTGCAAATAGGGACAGGAAGAGGGTGGCAGCTTTGTCCGGAGGATTATCTATGGTTCTCTATACAAAGAGTTTATATAACTTGGAGAGCTGCCCATCTCTCCCTCAAAGTGTTAACTGCCTGGGTGTGAAGGGCAGCTGTGTGCTCCTCAATCCAGCATCTTCTCCTCGGATCTGGGCCTCCTTCACACCTCCAGACCTCAGATGTTGGCAGATCTTAACATAACTGTGTGTACTGGGAAACTGAGCTCATTAGATCAGACTGAAGGTGGAGTAATGCAATGAGATAATGTCCATGTGATAATGGAAACAGATACTTCACTGTCTCTTATGAGATCAGTTGCTCTGTGAGGAAACAACAATGAAAAAAAAAATCCAAGTGCACTTGTAGAATGGAAAATGACCAGAGAACTGGTGTTTGTTATAACGTTTAGGCAGTGGAAGAAGTCAAAGCATCTTTTCAAGGATAATAGATAACAGATTGTGTTTGTCAGGTACTTTTGATGTCCTTTGGGAGTTTTAGGAAGTTCATCTGGAGACCATAGCAGAAATAAGTGATGTTATTTTGACTGGTCTCTAGTCAGATGAGCTCTTGTGACCCATTCTAACTGCCTCAAATTTCTTTTTTTTTTAATTTATTTTTAAGGGGATTGCATTGTGTGTTTACTCGCCTGCTCAACCTGCCTGTTTGAGGGCTACTTCTCATTCGTGCACCACTTTCTTATGATAAATGAGTGCCTTGGTGAGGATTCTGTCCTTTTCTATCCAGAGCCTTTAGGCAATGAAAAGGTGTTGTATGCAGTTTTGCACATACTCTGAGTTTACTAGGAGAAAAAAAAATCTAGTTCTGTATCTCCCTTCACTTTCAGTGCTTCTCCTTTTATCTTCTGTAACAGCTTATGTGTTGAAAGTGCTTTTTTAATTACATTGTTTGCATCTTGTATATGCACAATACATTCACTTTGAGGGCATTTTTATTACAGTAGGAGGGTGGTGATATGTAATAAGTCTCAAGAATAATTAAAACTTGTGTTAACTTGTGTATGTTTTCAGTAGTCAATGAACTTTGTGTTGAGTCTCTGCTGGGTCCAAGATCAGATCTTAATCAAGTAGGAAGGATGGAAGGAAGGAGTGATGGGGGAAGGAAGAGTTGGTTGTAGTTACCTCTGTAAGTTCTTGCCAGTTTAAGATAAATGTAATCTGTCATGTTTATTAAAAAAAAAAAAAAGTATGATGTGTTAGAGCAAAGATTTAAATAACTAGAGATATTCCAGGTAAATAGCTTTTTTTTCCTTTTATTTCGAGGAGGTAGAAATGCATACCAGAATCGGCAAAATACGTGGTTTTGGTCTGAAACTGTAACTTTCTGAACTAAATATTAAGTAGGGTTTTTCATCAATGCATCTTCTACAGTTTTGGAGAAAAGGGGTGGCTAGCTAGTTCTCTCAAATCCTTTCCTACAAAAGGTGAAGGCAGTTAAGAATTCTTAAGCACCTGAAGACCTCTACAGCTGTTAATTGTCTTGCTGAATCTGTGGAAATGCTAATGATTCCCTGAAACATTGTAAATGAGTGCTTTGCATTCATCATGAGAGATACTAGATTCAAAGGAGGGATAAGAAAAGGGCCTCATTCGAGGACAGTGATTGGAATCCTGTTGCATGACATGCTTTGAAAAAGTGTTAATTTCTCTGTCTTTGGAAAGTAGTTTTGCTGTTGGCTTGTAGATGGTTTGACTTTGCCAGAGACAAAAGGGGACTTAACATGAAATGCACTAGCTTTTCCAAGGACTGTGACATCCTGCTCATACCCAAGTCAAGCTGAGGCATGTAACAATGTTTTCAAATGGATAGTAGTTCTAAAGATGCCCCTAATATTATACTAAATTCAAGATCTGCACTGGAGGTTAAATGCTAGCTTGGTCTGGAGGAGTATATTTGGTCTCTGGAAGAGATTCATTTGGTTTAAAGTGGTAAATCAAGTAAAAGTTTATCTAATTAAAATCCCCTATTTAAATGTTAGAGCACCTGCATCACTTTTTCTTATGTGAAGCAATTTTTTGTATTTCATAAAATTATTGTTAGTGAATATATTAGATTAGCCTTCGCAAAAAACTTGAGATTTTTTTGAAAGTATGAACAAAGGTGGGAAATCTGAGAGGGACAGAAAAAATTCTTTTCTAGGATGCCAGGGTTTTCCAAGATTAACTGTAAACTCTTTCCTTACAGATTGTGTCAGATGCCGCTGACAAGGGGGTTGCCATCACTGGGAACAATACCTTCAACAACTGGAACTGGCCTAACGCTGTGATCTTTGCTGCTACTGTGATCACTACAATCGGTATTTATGATATCAACTTTCCTAACTATAGTTTTCTGTGGGCTCTAGTCTGTGTCTTCCATTTCTGTTAACAAGCTAGCCACTGAATAAAGTCCCCACAGTTGGAGTTACCTGGAGTATGTGCTCACCTACAGATTCATAGAGGGAAAAACAAGTGTTTTGGCACTCACTCTGTGCATATACAGAACAGAAAAGTGTGCCTTTCCACTAAGTAATGTACTCAAGGTGCTGTTGGGGTTGACTAGTGTCATTCCAGTTCCACTGATTCATGCACTTAGATTTCCAAATCATAAAATCCCAAAACAAAAGTCTAACAAAGAATTCCATTAAACTAATACCTAAAGCAAGAGCATATGAGCTTTTTGTATAGCTGCCCTGTTGCACAAATGCATCATATTAGACTACTAAATTATCAGTGTTCCTGGTTTGCAGAACTAGACTTTTCATCTCTCTCTTAAGGAAGGTGAAGCAGAACAACTGTTGTCTTTTAAATATTGCTACTGATTTGTGCTTGTTAAGCCCTCTGCATTGAAAGACTTCTTCCTCCTTTGTTATACAGATTTTCAGAACTCAACATTGTCTGCCTTCTACTTTTACAGAAAAATCTTTGCTACATGGTATTGTTACACACTTAGTACACCACAATGCACTAAACCCCCCTAAAATTCCCCCCTCCAAAAAAAAAACCAAGAAGAATAGAAAATTACCAGAGAAGGCTGTATATATACAGAAATGGAAGTCTTACTGTTTTCTTCGTTATCTGTTATCTAGGGAACACTTAAAATTCAGTAACCCTCTCAGCTTGCATTGAAGGAATACTTGTTTGCTAGAGTAGAATTAGAAGGCATCCAGATTCAGCAGATCAGCAGCTGGAGTAAACTAAAGCTCTTAGACCGTGAAGTCAGGAGTGTCTGATACAACAGGAGCCCACACAATGCTGTTTTGTGCCTTCAATTCTCTGCAACAAGAACAGACGGAGCACATACTTTTCTCTTTCAGGTTACGGAAACGTTTCTCCAAAGACATCCTCTGGGCGTCTCTTCTGCATATTTTATGGGCTCTTTGGAGTTCCTCTTTGCTTGACGTGGATCAGTGCTCTGGGGAAGTTCTTTGGAGGACGTGCCAAGAGGCTGGGCCAGTTTCTGACTAAAAGAGGAGTAAGCCTGGTAAGGCCTTTGCTTGCTTACCCTTGAACTCTGTATTTTTGATGCATGAATTAACCTCACACTTCTTAACTTACCTGCTCATCTTGTAGTAAATGAACACTTGCACAAATAGGAATTTTCCCAAATGGTGTTGCATAGAAATGACTGAAAGTGGGGTTGGGTCTGGTGTGTTGGTTCCACAAGAAGTTCTAGCAAAATAAGATGTCATAGGAGCCTTTGGTACTAAATACAGATCTTGCGGCTTCTATGGAGACATATCTCCTTGCACTGGAAACCTTTTAGACAAACATAGGTGAGGCTTCATTTCACAGACATTTCATGCAGGCTCCTCAGACATGGAAATAAGCAGTCCTGCTTTGTTCCCACCTGTGTGTATGGTGCAGTGAACCAACTGGAAAATAACGTTTTGTTTTGAGGTACTGGCTTGTGGTTTTTTGTTTGTGACATTTTGTTGCATTTTTGGTGGTGGTTTGTTTTCTTTAATCCCACACATACACACTCCAAGTGAGTTCTCAGTTCTAACTCTGCACAGAGGTGGGAGACAATGCAGGGCCATAGTCCCTGGAGGACAGTGGGACTGGTTTAGGTTCTGGTTTCAGAAACAGAACAAGAACTCTCTTGGTTTAGCACCTGAGAAGAAAACACTAAAAATAATAGTGAAATGCATGTGTACATGCAGGTTTGTACAGAAGTTGCAAGAGTGTCAAAGGGTAGGAGGCAGCAATAGGAGAGAAGCATCTGAAACACTTCTAATCTTCTATGTTTAAATGAATAAAAAGAAAATTAGAGGTAGTGAGTGTTTTTTAGACTAGTGCTATGTTTGTATCCCATACCTATTTGTAAAATATCAGGGACTCCTTAACTTTTCAACAGTGTGAAGTTATGAGGAAATAATCCTTTTTGAGCAACTAGTTGTCAGAATAATGAGTTCTGCCTAAAGGTAAAAAAAAAAAGGGTGTTTATGTCAGTCACTTTTAGTGACCTTTAATTATGGTTGCTAAAGTGTTAGCACAAAACTCTGAAATGTCTGGTACTGTCAGATGATTCTTGGTGCCATGGATGTGAAAAGAAAATTTTGAGACATTTCCCTGACCTTTTTTTTTCTTTTTCTTTATAGAGGCAAGCACAAATTACATGCACAGCTATTTTCATTGTTTGGGGTGTCTTGGTCCATCTGGTTATTCCTCCCTTTGTCTTTATGGTGACTGAAGGATGGGATTACATTGAAGGCCTCTATTTCTCATTCATCACTATCACCACCATAGGATTTGGAGATTTTGTTGCTGGTCAGTAATTGTATTTTATGTATTATTTCATTACATGCATAATATGGCAATTCTATTTTCAAACTTTAATTAAAAAATATTTTTTCTAAGCATTTCCAAAGCATTTTGCTGAATAGAACACTCAGTTAAAGCTGGGTACTGATCCAGTGGACTAGATCTGGCTCTTCAGTCTTGGTGTAGATACCAAAGGCCTTTCTTGGGCTAGGTCTGCAGCCAAGTTCGTGTGTGTCACAGGTCTGTATTTCAGACAAAGAGCCATCCTATCCACCTTTGAATGGGATCCAGTATACTAAGCAGGGTGTATAGGTACTGGGCAATGCCCTCTGCAGCTGTCCAGAACTAGTCAATGGGAAATGCTGAGCATACTGATATCTCCCTCCTAAAGCATCTCTTTTTCTAAAATCCAGTGCTTTGTTCAGAGCTTTGGAAGTGGTCCCTGTAAGTGGAATTCTGAATCTTTTTCTCAAGGAGGATACCTCTATACATACCCCAGTGAGAGGCAGAAGACTTGTAATTTTCAGACAGGAAAACATTCACTTTTATTGCTTATAAGGAGAGGATAAATATACTGCCATTTTATTTATTTGTATATACATGTGGCCAGGAAGTGGAAGATACAGGATCAGCTTCTTTGAGAAGACTTTCAGGTCCCCACTTGCTACCTCTCAGAGCATTGATCAAACAACTAGGCTCTGTTTGTGTGGAAGGGAGTAGTTCTCAGGGTCATAACTTCAAAGGTTTATCAGCTATGAGTCTTCTTTCAGTAATGTTTTTGGTTTTACTTTCTTGTAGGTGTAAATCCAGACGCAAACTATCATGCCCTTTACAGATACTTTGTGGAGTTATGGATCTATCTGGGACTAGCTTGGCTTTCACTTTTTGTTAACTGGAAGGTCAGTATGTTTGTGGAAGTCCACAAAGCAATCAAGAAACGGAGGAAAAAAAGAAAAGAGTCATTTGACAATCATCCTCGGCCTAAAAAACCCCTTCAAATGGGTACCCCAAAGGATGTCAACATTTTCAGCTTCCTTTCAAAGAAGGAAGAGACCTACAATGATCTTATAAAGCAAATTGGGAAGAAGGCCCTGAAGACAAACAATGACAAAATGATTATAGTAGAGAACACCAAACAAATGAATGCCAGTATAGGTGTTCAGGTGACTTATACGAAGACAGAGTCATTTGAGTATGATGAGGCTTCTCTGGACGTTCAGAATGGTCATGTACTGAGACCCCTGCACGATAAACGCATTGGAGACAACCCTCTAGAAGGAAGCATGTTTGTAAACCAGCTGGACAGGATTACTGAAGAAGAAGGTGAAGTGTGGGATTCCAGAGACTATCGACCATTAATATTTGAGAATGCCAATATAACATTTGTAAATGAAGATGATGGTGAAGAGGAAGATATCTCAGATGAGGAAACATCAAAATCCTCCATGGATGATAATCTTGCAGAGGAATCTGAAACTGCAAAAAAACTGGTAAAATTCCCATCCTCTGATGAATCTACCTTTACCAATAATGAGCTAGAACTTTCTGTGCCTTATGAACAGCTGATGAATGAATATAATACAGTAAGCATTGTGAAGGCTGCCACGTGAAGCATGTTTGCCAGTGGTTTATTGAAAGTGATCCGTGCATATTGAACATATAACAGAGCAAGGAGAAAAGCATGTTTTTGCAACTTCTCCTATCTCTTTGAAAACAAAAGCAAGTCCCAAACTAAGAAACTCCAGTCTCCTTTTCGCATTCTAAGTTGGCTTCTGAGCCCATCAGCTTTGCTTTTTTGAAAAACTTGTAATATAACAGTTGAATTTGGAGTCCCACTCCTTCTTGAGATTTTATGGTTCTTGAACAAAGTAGAAAAGACTAGTTAATACACTGGACCTGCTCTGAGTTCATGCATTTCATTGAGGAATTAGTTTGGGAGTGTAATTATACTGTTGCAAAGAGACTGCTTTAGGCATCATATGTGTTCGGTTACTCCACTAGTTTTTCACCTCTGAAAACCTGGATTTGAATACTGCTTTGATCACAAATGGAATCAAGGGGGTTGCCCATCGTTAACTTGTTACCACCAAAAAAATGGCACAACCCCCAGCCATACTTAACAAGAAACTTTAGATGGAATACAAGGACACACAGATCTGAGCTGAGGTGCACTGGCAGACTGAGGAGGAAGCTTCTGAAACATCTGTCAGTGCTGTCAGAATCTGCCAGAATATGTCAGTGCTTGTCAAAATACAGTGAATTCTAATTTCATAAATAAAATATTAAAAATTCCCAAGGAATGGATGGAGAAGAAGCCCTCTAACAAGGAAGAATCATCTGGTATGGAGCTCGCTAATTGGGCTGCTAAACTGCACATCAGCCCCAGCACTGTTAAAAGAGTAAAGTGACTGCAAGACTTATTGATCAAAGCATGTACGAGCACACGCAAGATGCAATGAATTTTTAATGTTGAAAGTGTCCTTCCACTGTCCATTTCCTAAAGGAAATACTTGAATGAACCTTATACAGTATCTGTGTACAGGTGAAGTTTTATTGACACTGTTCTTCTGAGGAAAAAATCACCTTGGGAGGCACAGGTATTCTCCAGTGCCCTAATGCCTGTCAGAAGGGACCTGTAGCACTGCAGCTGATCTGTGCAGTGTGTTAGTCAGTATTGTTGTTTGATGTTCCTCCCCTGCCTTGGTACTTCGGACTAGACTTGAATGGGAGATGATTTTTGAAACAGTTGATTACACTTTGCATATTTGTTTTTGTTTTAAAGTTTGACCTACGTGCATATACAATGGTTATTCTATCCCACTTTAAAGAAGGTTGGGCAATATCAAACCTTGGGCAAACTGAGGTGTGATCAAGTGAATTAAGGCCATAAGGCACTGGGGTTTTTTTAAAAGGAACTTTGGCTTTAAGCTTCTGAAAGTATTATCTTTTGACTTGGAGATGGACTTCTCATTAGAAGGAAGTATGTCTGTTCATAACATTTATTTCCAAATTGTTTTGACTACAAAGAAAATTTTACCATATTTTTATTTTTATTTCTTTTTCCATATCTATGCATTAACCCTGACAGCTCTTTCAAATGGGACTCTTGATTACATGTTGGCAAAAGGTACTGACTTCAGTTGTATCCAGTACACTTGGAACAAAAAATAGCCAAGACATTTGAACCTTAACATCTCAAGTTCTGCTGTTCTGTTTAGTTTTAGAGTATTTAAGTCATTCCAGTATGTCCTAAAGTTTCCAAAGTTCAGTGAACAGATAAAAGTTTTCATTCTTGTTTTAATGTAATGCTGGCACACTCACTAGCTCTGTAAGAAGAGCTTATGGAATCTTAAAATGCTACTTTTGAATTACTATCTAGTTTTAATAACTGCAAATGTTGGCTGGAGCTTCAGTTGCTGGCCTCTTTCACAGAAGAAGAAAGATATATGGGAAGCTGGCACTCTGCTTGACTAGCCTTTCGATGGGAAGTTTTCAAGTCATCTACTGTGAAACAAGGGACTGTCTTTACTAGTCCTTTTTTTTTTTTCCTAGAATTTTCCACGTCTGTGGCATTTTTTTCAAACAGAAAGTGGCTAGGGCCAACTCTGTTATACTGCAAAAATGTGGAATCAATGTCGCTAGATTTGGTAGCTAATCTGTAATTTATGATAGTATTGCTGAAGAGAGATTCTAATTTGGAATCAAATTTATTATTTTATTAATGCTGTTTGGAGCAGGGATGGTTGGATGAATCTAACTTGTATCTGACAAGAAGGAGGGAGAGGCCATATCAAGAAGATCTTTACTTACTTCTAATAAGACACCCTCATCCCCATTGTTTTAAAATGACTCCAAGCCCTTCAAGGATTTGTATATATCTGAAGGGTTTTGGTTGACAGCTATACCTTGTAACTCTAAGAAATGGTAGGTAAGGCTAGGGGTGTGATGCACAGGATGCTTGTGTAGCAAGTCTAGCCTTCTCTTTTTTTAAAAAATATTCTTTGTTTTTAAAAGTGCACATGAACTTAAAAGACAATAAGAAATCACTCCGTATCGCTTTTGTTGTCCTCTACTTGTCTTCCATTATTGATACAAAGATCAAAGTTTTAGCAAGAGTTAGAAAGGAATGGGACAATGAGGAGAGAAAAGGCTTGCTGCAAGTGCGTGAAATGCGTAATCCAATCTGCGTTTTTAAAAAAGTAAAATTTTTCTTTAATACAGAAATAATACAACCCAGACACTTGGCTGGGTGGCTTTGATTGGGAGGGGATGTTGCACACTGGAACTTTAGACTCTGTTCTTCATAGCGAAGTGCACTTGTAAGCCAGAGCTGAGAATAGATGGGATCTGTTTCATATTATCAAGCTAGATGTGGCTCTCTGGCCTTTCCCAGTGTAGTCAGCATAGACTATAAGTCTGCATAATAAGTATCATGGGATTTAAAGTAATAGTTTAAATTTATTAAAACAAAGTACAATAGTCCCACTTTTTTTTTGGGGAAACATGATCACACCTCACAAAACTGTTCTCAAGACATCCCACCATGTGCCTTAATGTAATCTTAACACTGGGAAAAAATTCCTCTTTACACAGGGGCCAACACAATTGGTCTCTTTAAGCCCTACTTGTTTCAGTGTTTTGGAGGGGTTTAGTTGGTGCATAGCTTTCATACTGGCTCTCTCCAAGAAACTGAACCATTTCCCAGGGTTTTTAAAATTACGGTGCCATCTCAGAACTGCCGAAGTGCTAAGCAAGACAGATTTTTGCCTGCCTGTCTTCCACGTCTTGAGAAAAACAGCTGCCTGGGGGATCTAAATTAATGTCCTTCTGCCTTCAAATTTACATGTAGTGACTTAGAGGGTTGCCCAGGCTGAATTTTGATCTATTCACCCCCAAAAGTGCCTCCGAGTGATACTTGGTTACATCTTGTAGTTATTTCAATTATTTGGTCAATCTGAAACATTTTTTTCAGATGCCAATTAATATTTCATTTGGCTAACTAATAATGTTAACAGCCTTCTTAATGCTGCGGGATTGATTTTATAGGTGAGACAGATCTCTTCCTGGAAAGAGAGGAAAGGGGGATTTTTTCAAAATATGAGAAACGGATGGAATAGCAGTAGAAACTCTTCTTTCTAGCTATTGCCTGCAAGTAGATTGTATTTCCAGTCACACCATGTGAAGGATGGGCCCACTTACTAATTTTGCCAAGATAAGCCAGTACTTTAAATTTTTTTTTTTTTCCAAAAATTAAAAAATATCCTGAAATGTGACCATGGAATTCTGTTCCTACAAAAGGCCTTTTAAGTGCTATAGACTATGTGACCTCATCCTTCATAACATCATTGTGACATTTCTTAGTTTTGTGTTGTGCTATTGAAGCCTATTTTTATCAGAATGGCATCATTTTCAGATACCTGTCTCACATCAGGTAGTCTAACACATCTGATACACTGGTACGAAATCACTGAGGAAATACAAAACGTGAGTGTTAAATTCTTCTGAACTAATGATTTATGAATCCATTGCTGGCAATGGATATCACAAAGCACGCTGAAATAAAACCAGACTGATAAGAGATCCATGGTGACACAGTTGTATATGTTGAGATTTTATTTTTCCTCCAGTTGATCTGGGAGAGTGTGTTGAGACAGGCAAGCATCACTGATGAGGAGAGCAAAAAGCAATATATAAGTCTGTTGACCTAAACAAAAGAGCTCTGTTAGAGACTTGTAATTTTTGTGCCTCGTGGGATTCATTCCATTTGTGATGGATTTCCCTTTTAAAAATTAGCTTGTCTTTTATATGGCTTTTGAAGTTTGTACAGTTCTGACTCTTACCACTCCATAATATGCCTGTCTGTCTGTTCTTTGTTGCTGATTGTCACTGGAATCACACTGTATATAAATATTTGCTAAGTCTTTGTAAAATGTAATTTATTTTAATATTTTGCAATAAAAATTTTGCAATTTACCCTCTCTGTCATGAGAAAAATGGCAATCGAGATTTCTTTTTACTACTACCTACACTTGTAATGCACCTCACAGATGAGACTGGTCCTGGTCCAAGGAGCTGGAAGGTAAGGAGCCAAGAAAACAAGTTGTTTTATGCAAGCAAATGCCTGAACTTGTATGGGGTATTGATGACTTCAGTTCAATGGCATCCGATCTTCAATTAGATACAGCATAGCAAAGTATTATTCAATGTGGATTTTGGACAGCTGTTGAAAGACAAACGGAAGTTTATTTTAGGGACTGTGTTTCTTTCAGGGGGCTGCTTTTAAAGAAAATGCACTGATATGGGAAGTGTCAGAACTATTAAAATACGTGAGTAGCTGTTTATGAATTTTCAGATTTCTAGTAGCAGTGCTCACCATTTTGCATGCTAGCAGTATTTGCAGTCCTTCAACTCCAGCAGTTTCCTTAAAACATCTTGAAAAATAGCTAACTACCTGCCTTAATGGGCAGCAAAATGTGACTTGGTGATACCAGTGATAGAGATTCACAAACTGGGAGAACCTCAAACTGAGGGGGAAGAGACTGAACCTTAGCTTTTAGGCAACTGAGTGAAATTGCTGAGGCATGAGCTAGGAAAGTGATGGAGACACGTG